TAACCCCAAACCAAACCCCAAGTCCTTGAGTGTTCAGGGCTTAGGGCTTACAGTTTCGGATTTCAGGCTGTGGGTCCGTAAACCCTAAACCTTTGAAGCGTTAAGGTTCAGAGTTTCGGTTTTCGAGTTTGGGGTCTACAGATGTCTAGGCTTTACTTTATAACCTACTTACTACGTCCGCTGGGCCCCTATGGAATCTTCGAAGGCCATCCAGAGGCCAGAGGAGCTCCACCAAGCCCCGCAAGTTAACCCGGAGCCCTTTCGCCTCGGGTTTAGGTTTGAGAAATGTGGGTTGCAAAAACCCAGGNNGCCCCATGACAGTCCCTTCTGTTAGGTTTTGGGTTTTAGGGTTTAGGTTTTAGGGTTTAGGGTCCTAACCCCTAAGCCCTGTACCTCAAAACCGTACACCCTGATCTGAGACCCTTAAACCCTGTACCCTAAACCTCCACCTTGAGCTTGGCGGCTCAGTCGAAACACTGCTCCGCATCTAGGCGTTTTGCACCGCTACTTAATAGGGAGTTGTTGGCTTCGTACGGAGGCGCAGGTGTTGTTTTAGGTTTTGGGGTCAGGTTCGTTTTCCTTGCAGGGCCATGCCTTTGCAGCATGGGCCCTCATCTCGGCCGGTGCACAGAAAGACGTACGTGACGCCGACGGGCGGACGGCTTTGTTGCTTGGACTCTTGCACCAGTGCAGGCATCCTGAGAGGGAGGCTGCATGGAGGTGCGGCTCCATGCTGTCGCATTTCTTGGGCGTGGAGGAGCTGCGATGCGCCATCGAGGAACTCGATGAGGAGGTTCAACACTAGGCTCAGGAACAGCTCGGAGCTCGTCTCAGACAAGCTCGTCGAACTATTGTGTAGTTGGCCGAATCGCAACAGTGCCGCGAGCGATGGGAAACATGTGCTCCACCGCGCACTGGCTCGTGGCCACACCGCCGTGGCCAGGCAGCTGCTGACCTGCAATGTACATCAGCAGCTGCTTGGCCACGGCGGTATTTACAAGGCCGACATTTGGCTGAAGGAGGACGACAAGAATTCTTCGGACGCCGCTGCGGAAGTTGCAGCAGCCCGGTTCTCTCGACCTCTTGCTCGAACTTCGTCACGACCAACTCAAAAACTACAGAAACGATGTAGGCTTGATGCTGCCGATGTTGATGGTGAAGCATGGGCAAAATCCGGACCTCATGAAGAGGCTGCTCGACACAGGCATGGACACGGATGCCAGAAGCCCGGATGGAAGCACCACGCTCATTATTGCAGCCCGGAAGGGAAAGACGGATTCGCTCAGAGAGCTCCTGGACAGAAGCGCAGAGAAGGACTGTCAAGACGATGCAGCCACAGTGCACTGATGCTCGCCATGCAGCAATGCCATGAGGAGTGCTTCAAGGTTCTTGACAGGGGTGCAACAACGAGCCTGAAGAACATCGCCTGCCCAAACCCTAAGCCGGAAACTCTTAAACGCACTGCTATCTCACACCCGGATTCCTGGTTATTGTTACGTGGACTCTCATGAATTTTCGGTGCCAGGTAACCGGATGACAGCCTTCTCAACACCGCATGGATATCTACGAAAAACTCATAAAGCCATATATGGGTGGTTGTCAAAATTATGGTCCCTTTTTGGGTCCTTATAATAGTACGGCACCTATTATTTAGGGTACCCCAAAAGGGACCATAATTTTTGACAACTACCCATATGACGCAGCCAGGAAGCTCTCTTCAGTCGTGTGAGGCAGACCTCCTTTACCCTAAACTGAGTAATGTAGTACCTTTTTGTTGAAGGGCTGTTTTTTGGAGAGAGGGGGGCATCTAGCTTCTTATCATAAGCTTCAAACCATAAGAAGAGGTTATCCAAAAACCTGGTAGGTACTACATTCCAGGGTCTAGGTATACCCCAAACCGCCCTGAACCCTACACAGCTCCGGAACCCCTTTTGCGAGAATGCCACCCAACAAAGTGAAGGGAAACACAACAACACTACACCTTGAAACCCCCCAAACCCAAACAACATGGAGCCCCCCAAACACTAATCCCTAAACCTCATAACCCTAAACCCAACCTCCGGCTCAAGAACGTACAAGCAAGGATTGAATTACACCTGAAACCCGAAATCCGGAAACCCTAAGCCCAAGGCCCTATACGGCATATTTCTCCCCTACAAACCCCCCCCGGAAAAAAGCCTCTTGGAAAAACAGAGGCGATGCGGCAAAGACGCAAGATTTCGTAAGCTTGACGCCAATCCTTTGAGCCCCTCCACGACCTCCCACCCGGCTTTGGGGCTTAAGGTAGGGGCTTAAGGTAGGGTGCTGTTTTGGGGGTTCTTTATCATAACTATAGTATAATGGGGCCCAAAACCNNTTATTAAGGCCCCTATATTAAGGGTCTTGAGATTGTGATAGAGATGCAATGCCGGCGGCCCTCCACCGCCACAGTGGCCACTGCAGGGCTTTGCTCCCTCGCCTGCGTGCTGGACTGCTTCTGCCACCGGGCCCTGTAAGGGTGTTTCGCCGCATTTTGGGGTCTAGGGTACAGGTCTTCCGTTCCTTCCAGGAAGATCATTACTGGTTGTTCCGTCCTCCCTAAACCCTAAACCCCTA